TGTTCTTCGTCTCATTTTATGTTGCTTATTTCTATTGTTTTAGATAAATATGTTTCTTTCCGGCGGAGAAGATTCAACATTATGTATGTGGGGACCTTAATCAGCATCAACGTATATGTTTTGCTGTAATGCACAATAAATATATATATACATATATTTATATATTTATATATTTATATATCGATATTATTTATGCTATTTTGTATACGTATACAGGGGGTGATCAAAAGTTACCAAACAGTCTATTTATATGACTATAACTTTTTTTTTTACTTCAAAAATTTACCCTTATTAGAATGCCAGAGACAATCTCTTTCTAATAATATGTATATTTTATTAAAAAAATAGATTAAACATAATATTAATTTGAAATAGATATTTTTATAAATAAAATAAAATAATAACTAGCTTGTGTACAAGTATATCATCTAAATCATTTTATTCTAATGGTATCAAAATTGTTAAATTTGGATTACTATAAAATATTAACTGTATTTAAATAAATTTAATAAAACTTAATTATTTTAATAATTAATAATCTAAATTTAAAGATTTAATATAATTTGATTCATTTTAATAAGATAATTCCAATAGTATTAAAATTATTAAATTTGGATTATTAATTATACTGTAAAACTAATTTAAATTTGATAATTTTGTTACTATTTGAATCATCTCAATAAGATGGTTTAAATGATATTAAAATTTTCAAATTTAAATAATTAGATTACAAGATATTTATAAAAAACTATTAATAATATAAAATTTTATTATAACTAGTTTTTGTATCTAATAATTCAAGTTTAATGATTTTGATACTATTTGAATTATTTTATTGAGATGAATCAAATAATAATAAAATTATCAAATTCAAATTTAATAATTTTAATATCATTTGAACTATAGTATCTTATTGTATTAAAATAAATCAAATAATATCAAAATTTTTAATTTAAATCATTAGTTATTAAGATATTGTAATTAAGTTTTATTAAATTCATTTAAATATTAGTATTTTATAGTGATTTAAATAGAATAAATGTATTTGTTATATCCTATAATGCATGTATTTGTAATAGCTTAATTAGTACAACCAAAAAAAACAACTAAAAATCTGTGTAATTCAAACTTTAACTCTCATTATAGGATGTGGTAATTTAGTATAGTTGGTAAGTTGTTGCATTTTCAAGCAGCAGAACAAGAGTTTGAATTCTACTGATGACAAAATTCAAATTTATGAAATATATTAGGAAGATTATATTTTATTGGGTTTGTATCTAAAATATAATCATATTAGTTAATACTATTAGAAGGTTGTAAAACTATAGTGTAATATATAAGTTATACAAAATTTAAGAAGTAGTTATATAAAACTAACAGATTAAAAAATATAGAAACCTGCTTAGCAAGATCTAAATAGAAAAATAATACAGGTTTTTAACAATACTATAGAAAGAATCATCATCTGAAAAACTAAAAAAGTAAATAGGTTTAAATTGTTAATAAATATTTTACTAACTTAGTTGTCAGTAAGAATAATTAAAAAAAAAGATCTAACTATAAAACTAGAAGCAAGTTATAACTTTTTTAAATCATTTGAATTGGAAGTTTAAGATAATTAAAGTTCAGTAGATAGTTTATAAAGTATATACTGAGGTTGGATGAACTCTACAAGGACAAAAATAGATAATAATAGTGACTTTGGCTCATAAGTACTTGTTTTCAGACTCAGCATAAGTTATTAAAGTTTAGGTTAGTCAGATTGTAGATATAGAAAGCTCTAAAAATAATGCTTTAAGAATAAATTAGTCTAAGGAGCATTTAGGACTTCTCAACTAACAAATACTATATAACAAACATATATTAGTAATACAAGCAAAGATTTGTGTTTAGAGGGTTTAAATAGATAACCTCCTAGTTGGATTATTGGGATAACATCTAATGTAAAATCTATAGTGTTATGAACTACTTAAATAGACAACTAAAAGTTGCATATGTGGCTAGTTGTACTCTTTAATGTAAAAGAAAGCTCTATTGAGGCTAAAACTACAAGCCTCTTCATCCAAACTTGAATAAAACCTTAGTCCAAAGAGGCTAATTAATAAAAAAAAATAAAAAAATAAAAAATTTAACAATTTTGATATTATTAGATTTATCTTTAAAGATATCTATTTCAAATTAATATTATGTTTAATCTATTTTTTTTTAATAAAATATGCATAATTGAGATTTTATATACATATTATTAAAAAAGAAATTGTCTCTGATATTCTAACAAGGGGTAAATTTTTGGAGGTTAATATATAAAAAAAAAAGTTATAGTCATATAAATAGACCGTTTGGTAACTTTTGATCACCCCCTGTATACGGTTTTATATAGTTTGTTGTCATCTATACGTAAAGCATGAAGGGAAATAATGAGCGAGAAATGGATGTAATAGGCATTCTAAAGGAGGTCGGTCGCTTAGATGAATAATATTCGAATATATGGTTAACGAAACTAATAAAATCGGTCCTTAAAACTTTGGAAAATCGTTTAGTTCATAGATCAGACCTAATTTATAATTCGATAATTATCGTCATGCGTGTAATAATAAAATTGTATAGTAAACATTACACTGACGTGTTTTTATCATTTTCATTGATATCAAATCGGATTTAATATTGTATTTTGCCATTCGCATATCTTGAGTCCAGAAAAAGGGTCTGGTAACTGCACGGTCTTTCTGATCATTCCTTGTTGCGATTAGTTTATTGAGTAATTGTAAATAATAATATGGATAGTTAAAAAATTTGACCAATCTAAAGGTTATCGTCGTAAATTACAGTAAGACCTTTCTAAGTGCATGCCCTTGGGGCCACACTTTAACGTGAATTTAGAGAATAAGAAAATATTAATATTAATTATAATCTAGTTATCAATTTTTTGTCCTATTGATAAAAATTTACACTACCCTAAATTTATGAAGCAGTTATGATAGACATTTAACGTGAGGCAAATCATTTGACTATAAGTATATTTATAAGAAGAGATGAGTTTTAATGGAGATGAATTTTAACAGTAAAAGGAGATGGGTTTTAAGGTGGGAAGATGGTTGGACATGATAATTATATTAGTTTTATTGCTTTTGGGGTTCAGTTTAATAAAACGCGTCATATGGTTGACGTATATATCATGTAATAATTAAATAGTAATTGGGGTTTTAATTTTTGCCCAATTCCAAAAATGCGCCCGAATGCTTATTCTATTGCTCTATTGTTCTATTCATTTGGGTAATTATTTTTGAATCCAGACAAAAATATTATTATGTCATATATAAAATTGGTCCGGGTTCAAAAATAATTACCCATTTATTGCTGACAACACTAACCTAAACATATATACCTCAAAATTTCTATAATAACGTGCATTCGATTTAGGGTATGTTTAGTGTATGTTTAGATGTATCAAAAAAGTAACGGTCAAAAATAATATTGCTTTAAGGAACACATGGGGTAAAATTTGATTGGTTAACATGATTCATAAAAAAAATAAGGGGGGTTATGAATTAAATTAGTCTGATCTAATGTGGATTAACAAATGCACCAAATTGTTTTTTAAACGGCAAGGATTCAAGTTTCTAAATACCTCTGCAACAAAGGTGACAGTGGTGTTACTAAATAGAGGAAATAGTTTTTTTCCATGAAATTTATTAGCTGATATTTCAAACTTAGGCAACTATCGTTGAGCAAAATAAGCTCTCACCAGAGGCACCTGTTATACTAAAGGGTACATTTTATTTCCAAAAGTTCCGAATTTTCAAAACAAATATATGTTGATTTAAACGGATCAATCATTTACACTTGATAAAGTTATTTTATTATCGCATAATACTAGCACTCCCAGTATATCCACAATTTCTTCAAGCATGGTATCGTGATTTTAAGACAAATCTGCCTTTGGGTATAATGAATGTAGAAAGACAAGTATTTGGTGCACCTATCAGGAAAGATATACTTCAACGAGCAGTCATTTGGCAGCGTGACTGTCTCAGACAAGGAACGCATTCGACCAAAAACCGAAGTGAAGTAAGCGGAACAACCAGAAAATGGGCTCCACAAAAGGGCAGGGGTAAAGCGAGAGTTGGTAGTCATCGTGCACCTCATTGGAGGGGTGGTGAGTACTTTTTCTTAAAACGAATATAAGAGATAAACACAGAAACATGTTTGAATTCCTTGTGACATGTTCTTTAACGTAACAGAACTCTTTTATGAAATATCACAAGAACAAATTGAAAAGTCCACTGTTACGTTAGATAATATGCCACAAGGAACTCCAACATACAATTATATCAATGCAAATACTCTGGTTTAAAGGTAGTTAAAATTTGAATTTAATATTAAAAAAAAAAGGAGGACAGTATATGTATATTGATATTAAGTAAATGTAATTGACATAATTCCATGTTCTAACAATTTCAAATATGGTCGATTAAGGTGGAGTTGCTCACGGACCCAGGCCACGTTCTCACGCCACTGACCTTACACGTCAAGTCCAAGAGTTAGCCCTCCGCTCTGCTCTCGCTACAAAGTTTGCGCAAGACCAGCTTGTCATCGTCCAAGACGTGCTTTTAGAAACAGAGAAAACAAAAGAATTAAGAGCTATTCTTGATAGAAATGCATGGGACCCCCTTACCAAAGATAGAAAACAAGGACACTCAATCCTGATCTTGACTAAAGAGCATAAACATAATTTAGATCTTGCCTCAAGGAATCTGCAACGTGTTCATGCTTTGACAGCAGAAGAAATTCTTGATGCGGGTGATGTTTATAATATCATTGGTCATGAAATTTTGATTATGGATAGGGAAGCGACAGAAATATTGCAAACAGCATTGAAACCTAAATGAAACATACGCGTCTGTGTTTAGCTTATCCATCTATACTATTATTAAAATTTTAATGTCTGCCTGTTCGTTTTAAATAATCTGATTGGTCGATTTTAAGTACCCGTGACCTGGGTCATTCGTTCAACATATCCGACAAAATTCTTTAAGTTCGTTTATATTAGGTTAAGGCCTCTTTTAGTATTATATTTAAGAATTCTGATAGTAAAATCGTTCAAGAAAAACTTTTTGTTAATGCGCAGGAGGTTTCCTGTGCAGATTTTGAGTTATAAGCGAAACGAATGGTTGTTTTGAATTTTTTTGATCGCGTTACGTTATACCAAATCGAAATTTATTATTGGCTTATTTTCGAACTACCCCAGTATAGGGCCACCGATTTTCTGCTGCGACAGACCCCTGCTTCACAGGTCCGTTTATGCGATAAAATCGTGCTAAATTCTGCTATTTTTTGAAATTATGTCATAAATTCTGCGAACCAAATAAGCATTTACCTTAAAAACAAACAAAATTGACTTTCCGAAAAACACGAACGTGTTTTAGTTACAAGTTATGGAGTTACACCTGCACCTCTAACTCACACGAGGGGTCCCCAGATTTCCGGGTTGGAATACCATGGAATCATGATCAGTAGTACCGGAATTAACTAATTTGTAATAATAATATCCTGATCCGTTGGGAATTAGCGGAAACGGAGTTTCCGCTTATTCACATACGGTCAGGGTA